GCCCCTGGCCTGACATCACCGAGGGGGGAAGGGAGGGGGACAGCCAGGCCGCCCGTCCGCCCACCTGGGCCGCCGGCCAGCTCGGCGCAGAGACGGGCACAGCCTGGGGCCCTGGTGCGGCTGGGGGTTGTCGTCTGCGGCCGATTTCGGTCCCTTACCTGGAGGAACCCCAGCAGGAGTAGCAGGACACTGCGTCCGAAGACGGGCTCTGTCTAGGGACCCCAGAGACCTGCGTTGGAGTTCAAATCCACTCCCGCTTCTCTACAGGTGGCAGGAAGGTGTCCCGAAGTCGGGGGCGGGGGAGAGCCCTGTGCGTCCAGATTCCAGGGCCAAGGAAACTAAAATTATCCTGGGCAGGGGGGGGCGGGGTCGGGGGAGGCGCCTGGGAGGAAGCCCAGGAGGGGAGGACGGAGACTCCCTGACACGGCGGCGACCGGGGTTGTTTTTCCCTTCCTAGCCTGGCAGCAGGTGTCAGGGGAGGGCGCAGATGCCTGGGGAGAGGCGGGGAAGACAGACGTACGGAACGCCCTCAAGAGCCAAATCCAGAGTCCCGACTACCTGGGAAGGAGGGGCTAAGGGCTGGAAGGTAGGATGAGCGGCCCCGCCCACTCTTCCCCACGCCCTTCCCCTAACCTGCTCTGTTCATTGGCCAAGCCAGGGGGCCCGTCTGCAGTTCTGGGTCCCACCCCTTGGGGTAAAGGGCACTCTGCGAAAGAGGGAAACGAGCCAGAGATGTCCAGCAACATGGCCTGCCCCTTGACCTGCAGCCAGTCTGGTCACCCGGGCTGTGCCCTGGCCCCTCAGAGGCACCCAGAATATGCTCTTGTTTCTGAGCAAAGTCCAGGGTCTCAGCTTCCTCTTTTAAAGTGAAGGGGTTAGGTAGGGTCGCACTGTGGGGGAGGAGCCACTGTGATCGGGCACCAGGGACTCCCGTTAGAGCTAACACTAACCTTCTCACTGAGCCCGTCTCAAACACGGGGGACCTGGAAAAGGGGCTGGGAGGTTGAGATCCAAGGCAGGGCCTCCCAGCTTGATGTGGGTGATAGTCGGAAAAACAAACCGTAAGATGATAAGAGTCTGCCCTGGGGGAGCACTGAAGAGTGAGTCCAGTCTCAACTTCCTCCAAACTGAGTTTTCCTTAAAAAATGAGTACAAGTGGGCCAAGCCGGGGGGGTGGGGTGGGGTGGGGGGGACACGACGACACGACCTGAGTCTCAGAGCAGCATGTGCAAAGGCAGAGTAGACTTACATACGACCTCGTGCCGGGGACACAGTGGTGGGCGACAAACCAGACTGCCCTGATCCCAGGCGGCCCAGTCTGGGAGACTGGTGACAAAGAAATAAGAATGACAGGTGACAACTGTGCTTTAAGAAAGACTCGATTAGGGAAAACTGTAGAAGTGACAATTAAGAGGAATAACTGGCTGTGATGGAAAGAAGCTTAGGACTAGTGAAGAGGAATGGGGGGAAGCCATGGGACAAGTGCCAAAACCTTTGGCAGGAGGGGACGCAGCATGCAGGAGAGGATGGGGTAAACCCAGCAGGTGTGGCAGGTGTGTGGCAGGTGTGGCAGGTGTGGCAAGAGGCATCTGTGCTTCTGAGTGCGTGACCTGTGGCCACCTGCCTCCAAATCTCCCTGGGCCAGATCCTCGGGCTCTTCCCCATGTACTGAATCTGTCTTTCAGGCCCCAGGAATGTGCGGTATTGACAAGCCCTCGGGTGGCTATTCTGCAAACCGGGACTGAGCCATCCTGTTTGTCCAGACTGGCAGGAGTCCTGGGCAGAGGCCAGACCCTGCATGGTCTATATCCACTTAAGTAGAGGCACCAAGGAGTGGGCAAATTTATATTTTATATTCGGAAAACATGGTCTGGAGGTTGAAAGACAAGTTGGAGAGAAAAGCGAGACTCAGGGGCTGAGTGATATAGGATTCTACTTACTGGCCCTCAGGAGGAAGTCTACAGTAAGGACAGAAAGCAAACATGTGGGTGGGGAAGAGGGAGAATGATTGACAATAGAGGGCACAGGGGGCTCGTAGGGAGGTCATGGCAGTAATGCGCTTTGGTCTTAGTGGCGAATGCAAAACTGTTTGTTAGGACCCGGGAAGATATATTCAAAAGAATGAATTTTACTGTGTATAACTTGTATCCAAATTTTGTTTTATTTGTTTTATTTTTTGCCAACCGGTGCATGCACTAGCCAAGACAGATAGAGGAGAGGGAGAAAGCTCCCCCCGTGTGGCTTGGTCACAGTGAAGTCTCTTCTCCATTTCTCCACCCTGCAGCAAGTTGAGGCACCCACACACATGTGTCTGGCATATTTCAAGCCGCCAGGGCCAGGATTCAAACTGCTCGGGTTTGTTTTTCCCTTCCTAGCCTGGCAGCAGGTGTCAGGGGAGGGCGCAGATGCCTGGGGAGAGGCGGGGAAGACAGACGTACGGAACGCCCTCAAGAGCCAAATCCAGAGTCCCGACTACCTGGGAAGGAGGGGCTAAGGGCTGGAAGGTAGGATGAGCGGCCCCGCCCACTCTTCCCCACGCCCTTCCCCTAACCTGCTCTGTTCATTGGCCAAGCCAGGGGGCCCGTCTGCAGTTCTGGGTCCCCCCCCTTGGGGTAAAGGGCACTCTGCGAAAGAGGGAAACGAGCCAGAGATGTCCAGCAACATGGCCTGCCCCTTGACGCCAGGCCAGTCTGGTCACCCGGGCTGTGCCCTGGCCCCTCAGAGGCACCCAGAATATGCTCTTGGAGCAAAGTCCAGGGTCTCAGCTTCCTCTTTTAAAGTGAAGGGGTTAGGTAGGGTCGCACTGTGGGGGAGGAGCACCTGTGATCGGGCACCAGGGACTCCCGTTAGAGCTAACACTAACCTTCTCACTGAGCCCGTCTCAAACACGGGGGCCCTGGAAAAGGTGCTGGGAGGCTGAGAGTCTGCCCTGGGGGAGCACTGAAGAGTGAGTCCAGTCTCAACTTCCTCCAAACTGAGTTTTCCTTAAAAAATGAGTACAAGTGGGCCAAGCCGGGGGGGTGGGGTGGGGTGGGGGGGACACGACGACACGACCTGAGTCTCAGAGCAGCATGTGCAAAGGCAGAGTAGACTTACATACGACCTCGTGCCGGGGACACAGTGGTGGGCGACAAACCAGACTGCCCTGATCCCAGGCGGCCCAGTCTGGGAGACTGGTGACAAAGAAATAAGAATGACAGGTGACAACTGTGCTTTAAGAAAGACTCGATTAGGGAAAACTGTAGAAGTGACAATTAAGAGGAATAACTGGCTGTGATGGAAAGAAGCTTAGGACTAGTGAAGAGGAATGGGGGGAAGCCATGGGACAAGTGCCAAAACCTTTGGCAGGAGGGGACGCAGCATGCAGGAGAGGATGGGGTAAACCCAGCAGGTGTGGCAGGTGTGTGGCAGGTGTGGCAGGTGTGGCAAGAGGCATCTGTGCTTCTGAGTGCGTGACCTGTGGCCACCTGCCTCCAAATCTCCCTGGGCCAGATCCTCGGGCTCTTCCCCATGTACTGAATCTGTCTTTCAGGCCCCAGGAATGTGCGGTATTGACAAGCCCTCGGGTGGCTATTCTGCAAACCGGGACTGAGCCATCCTGTTTGTCCAGACTGGCAGGAGTCCTGGGCAGAGGCCAGACCCTGCATGGTCTATATCCACTTAAGTAGAGGCACCAAGGAGTGGGCAAATTTATATTTTATATTCGGAAAACATGGTCTGGAGGTTGAAAGACAAGTTGGAGAGAAAAGCGAGACTCAGGGGCTGAGTGATATAGGATTCTACTTACTGGCCCTCAGGAGGAAGTCTACAGTAAGGACAGAAAGCAAACATGTGGGTGGGGAAGAGGGAGAATGATTGACAATAGAGGGCACAGGGGGCTCGTAGGGAGGTCATGGCAGTAATGCGCTTTGGTCTTAGTGGCGAATGCAAAACTGTTTGTTAGGACCCGGGAAGATATATTCAAAAGAATGAATTTTACTGTGTATAACTTGTATCCAAATTTTGTTTTATTTGTTTTATTTTTTGCCAACCGGTGCATGCACTAGCCAAGACAGATAGAGGAGAGGGAGAAAGCTCCCCCCGTGTGGCTTGGTCACAGTGAAGTCTCTTCTCCATTTCTCCACCCTGCAGCAAGTTGAGGCACCCACACACATGTGTCTGGCATATTTCAAGCCGCCAGGGCCAGGATTCAAACTGCTCAGTTGGCCGTGTGGGATCTAGTTCCCTTAACCACTAGACCTTAGACTTGGCCCTATATCTGAATTTCTTTTTTTTTTTTTTTGAGAGATTTTTGCTATGGTGCATGTGAGCTTGTTGGAGACAGAAAGCAATAAATAACCCCCCCAGGAGAGATGGCCTCCATTCTCCTCTTGGAATCTTGGGCATGCATGCACACATGCTGGGCATCAGCTTTAAGTCACCTGGTTGGAGGTTCGAACCATGACCGGACTACATGGGAGTTCAGCGACATAACCATTATGCCATCTGTTGGTCCCCTATCTGAATTATTTTAAATAAAAAAAGAAACAACTAAAAAGAATAAATATTTAGATCGTGAATTTTTTAAATTTATTTATTCATTCATTTATTTTAATTTGACCAGAGAGAGACAGAGAGGGAGAGAGGGAAAGTGAGAAAGCAAGCCACCAGGTCCTGGATTCGAACTGCGGTTAGTCATGTGGGAGTCCAGTGCCTTAACCACCATGCCACCTCCTGGGATCATGGGACAATATCTAGAATCCAAATATAAACCTTTACATTTCTAGTCAATTGATTTTGACAAAAATATCAAGACAAGTTGATGGGGAAAAGAATCGTCTTTTCAAGGTGAATTTTTTGCTCTACACAATACACAAAAACTAACTCAAAATAGATTATACACATAAATGTAAGAGCTAAAACTACATACTATACTTAGAGAATAAACCTAGGAGAAAATCTTTATGAACTTAAGTTAGGCAGATAACTTACATACAATAGCAAAAGAGCAACTGAGAGAATAAAAAACTGATACAAATTTTATCAAAATTTAAAATTCTTGTACCTCAAAAGACACTATAAAAGGGGCCAGCAGATAGCATAGTGGTTATGTTGCTGGATTCCCACATGGCTGACCACGGTTCAAGTCCCAGACCTGGCAGCTTAAAACTCATGCTAGCACATATGTGTGCATGCCCAAGATCCCAGGGGAGAATGGAGGAGAGGGATTGCAGCGTGGCCATTACCCCAGGATGTGATTTCTCACTTTCTGTCACTCTGTCTCTCTGGCAAGCACACACCCTATAAAAAAAAAATCTCCCCAAAAAAAAAAAAAAAAAAAAAAAAAAGGAAAGAAAAGACGCTATGAGAAAAAAAAAATTGCCAAACACTAGAAGAAAATACTTGCAAATCATATACTGGATTAACGCTCAAAAAAAAAAAACTGAGTGGGACCAGCAGTTAGCGTAATGGCTATGTCGCTGGACTCCCATGTAACCGACCACAGTTCGAGTTCTGGACCCAGTGGCTTAAAACTCAAGCAGGCACGTGTGCGTGCATTCCCAAGATCCCGAGAGGAGAATGGAGAAGGGATTGCGGCGTGGCCATCCCCCCGGGGGGTGATTTCTCGCTTTCTATGTCTTTCTGGAGAGCACATGCGCCCTATAGCAAAAAACCGCTCAAAAAGAAAAAAATCATATACTAGATTAGGAACTTTGTATCCATAATATATAAAAAACTCTTACAAATCGAAAATAAAAATAGCAAAAACGAGCAAAAGACTTGACTAGATGTTTCTTCAAATAAAGAATGGCTAGTAACTAAAAGCTGCTCCACATCATTAGTCATTAGAGAAATGCAAGTAGAACCACAATCTAGCACCCACTATGATGGGCGTAATCAATAACACAGTCAAAAAGTATTGGCAAGGATATAGGGAAATGAATTCTCATGTATTGCTAGCGGAAATGTAAAATGGTACAGCCGCTTTGAAAAACAGTTTGGCAGGGGGCCGGCAGGTGATGTGGTTAAGGGTGTTGTATTCCCATACGGCCAACCATGGTCTGAGTCCTGGACCTGGTGGCTTGCTTTCTAACTTTCTCTCTCTCTCTCTCTCTCTCTCTCTCTCTCTCATCAAATTAAAATAAGTAAAGTGAATAAATAGTTTAAAAACAAAACAAAAAATCAACAACCCCCAAAAAACAATTTGGCGGAGCCAGCAGATGGCATGGTGATTAAGGGCACTGGACTCCCACATGACCGCCACCAGTTCGAGTCTCAGACCTGGCGGCTTGCTTTCTCACTTTCTCTCTCTCTGGTCAAATTAAAATAAGTAAATAAATAAAGTTAAATAAAATAATCCTTTTTTTTTTTTTGAGAGGTTTTTCGCTATAGGGCGCATGTGCTCACCAGACAGACAGAGACAGAGAGACAGAAAGCGAGAAATCACCCCCCAGG